AACAACTTTATTTCAGAACTCAAATATTCATATGATTTAAAATCAGTCATGAACAAAACACAACACCAAGTCCATATGTTTTAACCCTTCAAGGCTAATTTGTGCTTGTGACTCTTCCAGGTTCCCTGGACTAGCCTATTTCTTTTTGCCTCTCCCAGGAGCAATTTATTTTCCTAATAGGTTGGTCTCTTGCATTGCTTTTTAAAAAGCACTTGTTTTTAATACAACTGAACATCTGTTTTATTGTTATTATTGTCATTGCTGCAACTGGTGCTGGTAATGGTTGTTTTGGGTATTTGAGGCAGTGCATGGGATATCCAGAATGTTTCAGTAGCAGTGTTACCCTGTTCCATGTGAATAAATGCCCCCATAAGGCCAATTAAAATTTAATCTTTCTGCTAATACAGATGCATTTTTCACTTGCAGTAACTTCAAAATTACCTTGATCTGACTTTTTTGTCTCTAAATTTAGCATGTCAAGAACATAGACTCCTTTCTTTAATGTTTTTTAAAAATCTCTTCAGTTCTATATACCAAATAGCCTCATGTTTTAATCTGGATCCGTGTGAGTGTGTATGTGTGTAGTATTCCAGAAAACAGGACTATCGGCAACAAAGTGTTGCAATGAAAAATAATCTTATTTAAGCCATACTGTCTTCCAAGGACAAGCAATCCTGATCCTGTTGGACTTCAGTTCCCTGGCATATCAGATGGCTAAGGCTAATGGGAGATGGAGTCCACTTCACAATGAAGGTGAAGAAAACGAAACGATAGGGCATCAGTCAAGTAGTGGTGAAATTCTGATAGAGTACTGCAACTCCATCGTTTTACCCCAGGTCTTCCCTGCTGCTGAATAAAGCCAAGAAATGTATCCCCTCCCCAAGCCTCATTCAATCAGGTTTCTGATACAAGTCAGGTCAGTATGCTCATTGAAGATCAAGTCCCAAATGGCAGCTGTCTTCCCATTTCACCAGCAGCATTTTCAACCTAGGGGTTGTGTTCCCAAAACCATCCAAGTTGAGTTGGGGGCATGTTCAATATGATAGCACTCTATTCTTGTCCTGTCTATTAAAGTGGTTCTTGTCCCATCCCCCCCCCCTTTGCTCAGACCATATAGCATCACAAGCAACAATGAGGACCAGATGCTTCAAGTTCTAAATTTTGGAATTGGGCTATTTTTAAAAACCTATTGTTATTTCCTGAGGGATATAAGTTAAATTTAATCTCCAAAAGGTTAAGACAGCTAGAGTAGTGGTTCCAATCAAATCCATATAGAGAATATGACAATTATTAATAATGTATCCTTGGTAGCAGAAAGTTGAAATAGATTGGATAATCTGTATTGATCACTGCATTAGAAAACATTATCATTGCTTTTCATTAACACTGCTAAGACACAACTGGCACTGAGATCTTCCAGTTGTTCTAACAATCCTGAACCAATATCAGTATCTTGCATCATCAGATAAATTGAGAAGTGTGCTTAGACATATAGTAGGTGACTTGGAAATGGCAAGTATAGCACAGGAATGTATTGTCATAGACATCACTAGTGGTTGAAGACTTGGACTATTCTTAAACTTATGCTACACTGAAAAAGAGAAAGCCCTGACAAAAAAACGTAGAAGTCTAATTCATGTTCAACAACCTTTAGATATTTTTGGCTATTTATTTTAAGGGCTAACTTGCCAGTGAGCTGAATGGTCTCAGGCAAACATAGTCGGCATCAGCAATAGACAGATCTGAAAACATATCAAAATATAGCTACTGTGTTGTTGTAGGTTTTTCGGGCTATATGGCCATGTTCTAGAGGCATTCTCTCCTGACGTTTTGCCTGCATCTATGGCAAGCATCCTCAGAGGTAGCTACTGTGTTGTTTTATTTGTTTTTACTTAAAAAAGTTGAAAATATTAAGAGTTGAAGATTCAGCAACATATCATCTGAGAATAGCTCTCCATGTACTTTAACTGGTTGCTAATATTTGAAAACCCAATTTTACCATCTGAATTGGACAAATCACTATTTAGTAAGGAGGTACTGCATATTAATTTACGTTTGCATGCTTATGCAAAGTAAAAATACTCCAACCGATATACAACATCTGATGTCTATTTTTGAGCATCTTATAAGACTGCCATTTTAATAGAAATCTTGCAGTTGCTAGAAACAAAGCTGCAGGGATCCTGTCTGATTTTTTCTACCATGTACTTTTATTTAATTACAATAAATTATCAAACATGTTGCTGAGGTAATAGCACCTGAGTAGGTGGTGAGAACAGTAAGGTAAGAGCATCTATCCAAGTGGTCAGATACTTACTAGTTAAGAGCCTAGAGGAAAAAGAGTGAATCCTCATCTAATGAATGCTCATCATCATCTTTAAATCAGACGATAATGTAGATTAAAGTGGTTTCTTGTGACTAATCCAATACTAATCAAGCTCAGTCATGGGACACTATTTCTCACTGACCTTTCAAAGCTAAAGCTACAGACTACACTAGCACAATTTTTTTGATAAAAAGCAGGCAGAGGGAGTCTTGCAGCAACTTGAAGGCTGATTTATTTAAGCACCACCTTTCCTGGATTTCAGTCCACTTCTAAAATGAAGTATATTTCAAAAGGTGGACTCAAATACATGAAAGCACATGTTAAGATAAATAATTTAGTATTAAATGTGTAAAATAAAGAAAGGGACCTTTTCTTCATGTATGGTGGTCTTGTGAATTGGTGAATTGGAAAAAAATCGTAAAAGAAACAAATAAAGTGATCCATAACAAAGTAAACAAAAACAAACAGGATTATTCAGAGATAAACTAGTGTAGCTGGAAAGAGAAATTTCCCTGCACAGTTTTGTGGCTGCACACATTACGATTGCCAGTGACTGGAAAGTATCAAAAATTGGAAGGATAAATTGTGGGATTATGCACAGATGACCAAGATTTCTAGCAATCTGAAATATGAGTCATGAAGTTTTTGAAAGAAATTGGAAGCTGCCCTTAGCATACTTGATGGGAAAATTTAATAAATAAAAACAAGAGGAATTTATTGAGCTAGACAGCGTTTCTCAACCTGGGGGTCGGGACCCATAGGCGGGTTGGGGGGGGGGGTGTCAGAGGGGTCACCAAAAATCATCAGAAAACACAGTATTTTCTGTTGAACATGGGGGTTCTGTGTGCAAAGTTTGATCCAATTCTATCTTTGATGGGGTTCAGAATGCCCTTTGATACATCCCAGCAACTACAACTCCCAAATATCAAGGTCTATTTTCCCCAAACTCTCCCAGTGTTCACATTTGGGCATATTGAGTATTCATGCCAAGTTTGGTCCACTGTTTGAGTCCACAGTGCTCTCTGGATGTAAGTGAACTACAACTGCCAAACTCAAGGTCAATGCCCACCAAACCATTCCAGTATTTTCTGTTGGTCAAGTTTGGTTCAATTCAATCATTAGTGGGTTCAGAATGCTCTTTGATTGTACATTAACTATAAATCCCAGCAACTACAACTCCCAAATGACAAAATCCATGCCTCCACAACCCCACCACTATTAAAATTTGGGTGTATCAGGTATTTGTGCCAAATTTGGTCCAGTGAATGAAAATACATCCTGCCTATCAATTATTTACAATTATAATTCATAACAGTAGCAACATCACAGTTATGAAGTAGCAACGAAAATAATTTTATGGTTGGGGTTGCGACTTTAGGTAGGCTGAGAACCACTGATCTAGAAGTATGGAGAGTTAATAAAATAATGCATAAATTCTGTGTAGATCAGTGTCAGGAGCCAAGATGGTGAATCACACTGAGGATGGGCTGAGGGGTAATTGTATTGTGGGCAGTGGGTTGTCTATGTATGGGTATGTGTATATTTTTGTAATGTTTATTGTGGGTGTATTACAATTGTAAAATAAAAATCTATTTTAAAAAGTAGATTCAAGTACATGCTAAGATAAATAAACCCGTGTTTTTTTCATGCCATGACAGCCTAATGACTATTTTTGAAAACCATCTGAACCTTAATTTTCATTTTCATGTAAAAATGTATTGGAAGCGTTGCACCATGCTGCTATTTGAATACAATTTGGTTTAGGTCTCCATACGATGTTCTGTAGCATCTTAAACCCATAATCAATCTTCCATCAATATTTTTAAAAATCAGCAAAAATACTTGAAAGAGCAAGAACAGGTTTTTTAAGCACATTCCCCCGCTCTCCCTTATTATGGGGTTGAGTTCTAGGTTAGGTAAGTTTCAATCCTTTTGTCAAAAGCCTCAGAAGTATTGCAAAGGGGAGCTAGTGGGAAATGAGAGAATCATCTAAAATTTAGTTATGACTTCAAATTTCAGGTGCCTACTAAACTGTTCTGGAAGACTGTCAGAAAAGCATTAGGTTGGGGAACAATAGGTCACAAAATAAAGAAAGCAAAGGAAAAGTTTCCCTACATGAACACCTAGCAAACAGCAGTTCTTAGGACAGAAGCTATTTCTTCTATTTACTGCTTAAAGACAAGGTTAGGCTTCTTCTATGTGTAGTTAGTATTTCACTAGGAATGTTGAAGTTCAATATATCCAATTAAATTTGGTGCCCATTATGTTAAAGATTTTTTTGAAGTTTTAAATTCCAAATATAATGCAAATTTACTATGTAATTCTAGCTCAAAATGTACTTTCAATGTGCTAATAAATATATCCATAAACCCAGTGAGTCTGTGCATATTGAATGCTAATAGAAATACATATATTTGTGCCTTCAGGACCCTATAAATGTTTGCTGTGAACTAAGTATTACCACGTTCAAATAGATTTTACTTCAAAGAATGCAAAATATACCAGTCTAAGTTCTTCTGTAGATTAATGAAGACAGAATGCAGCAGATACTGGCAAAATGCCAACAACAATAATGCATTCCTCATTAGTTGTACTATATGCAAATAGAAATCACATAGACCACTCCCGAGAAAAGCACTGTAGATCTTCTGTACCAATAATGAAAATGCACATCTTTCATACGCAGTTTCTAATTAAAATTAATACAACTACAAACCATTTGCTGTGTCATTTCTACTTGGAAGCAGTGTTCTCAAGCCGACTTTCCATTACACACATACAGAGAAAAAGATACCGATATTAACACCTGCAAGGTCTATATATCATGACCTTAAAATTAAAGATGCATTACCTTTTTGTACAGGCTGTTTTTAAAGACAAGATACAGACATTATACGTTGATTCGAACAAGGCAGGATTTTATGCCCCAATATTGCTTTGAATTGCATAGATATAAGCCCCACCAATCTGAGAAGTTGCGAAATGTCTCCCCCATCCTGGAAACATGGAATTTCTCCACAAACATTCAAGATTAATTGGTGTATATTTGAAATATCCTTAAGAATAGCAGATTAACATGCAGAATGCAAGGTCCCTCTCTGGATTCTTATTCCCTCAGATATCTATTTGGCCTACTATTATATTTTGCTCCTGTTACTGTCAAATCTGTTTTTCTAGGCAACCAATCCTTTAGATTCTAAACATGGGGTTTATGAGGAAAAGGAACAGGATAGAGAACACGTTTTCTTAAATCCTTATCCAAGATAGAACGCATGGGGCTTGTAATATAATAATAGCTCTGAGTACCCCAATCCCTAACGAATTTCTGTGAATGGCTGCAGCCCTGGAATAGGAGTTGTGAAGTTTTATTCAGATCAATTTTCGTAGTGAAGTGAGCATATATTGCCTGAGCTCTGATCCCTATCCCAATATTTAGGATGCTTCCTATAAACTGCAAGGGGAATGAATCAATATGTTGGCATTTTCTCTTCCCTTCTTCAATGAATATCCTATCCTTTCATTTTTCAGCTCTTCACTAGTGCAAACAACTGATAGGCGCAAGGTGTGTCTTACTTTTTATGTCTTGAGACTCTTTTCTTCCTACCTTTCTAGAGCCTCAACAGTCATGAATATTCTATGCCTCTTGAAAGCTCACGTGTTCTTGCCAAGCAATTTAGGACATTTAAAAATACATTCTTTCTTTTTAACCTACAAAAAATGTGTGTATTTCTATGTTTGGGATGACCCTGTTTTGCCTCAAAACAGTCAAGCGCTCAAATAATTGTGTCTGCTCTGAAAAGAAACAATACCTAGATATGCATTGAAACCACAGTACAAATTTGACCTTAATTATGAATAAACTGCGCATGCTGTTTTACAGACAACATATATTTGTAAACTTGTTCATGCAAAAGTAGTGTGAACAACAGGAAACGTTTTACCCCCACATCTTTAAAAAGGACATTTACTTGTGTCTGCATTTTTAAATGGTGAGCAAGTCCTCCGCATAATAAGGATTACAAAGTTTCTTTTGATCTGCCAGCCAAAATCATTTTATGTAGCTGAAACAAAAAGATGAAAGTTATACAAAACAGTATTCTTATATCATGAAAAAAATAATAAAGAAAAATCAGGGTCACAAATTTTTAAACTTTTAATCCTAAACATTACAGGGCAAATGGATGCTGGAATCTATTTCCATACATCATGCATTTTAATGCCTTTTATTTCTATTTAATGTGTGTCCAAATCCACTAAAACATGAGTGGCTTACAACTTTTGAGTTATGGAAGTATATATTCTGGAATAAATGCTACAAAAGCAACAATGGGAAAAAGCCAAACGGTCTCCATAAAAGTAAATTTGAACATTGTGAAGTTTAGATACTTTCTTTTTTTAAAAACTTGTCAATTCAGTGCATCATATGGTTCAAATTCATGGTCCCTGTTTTGAACAAATGTTTAACTAGTGTCCATTGATTCCAAATTAGTAGATGATGAATCTTTTTGGATACTTTCAAAAATGGCGGCAAGCTCAGGATTAGAGCTTATTTGTGACTGAAATTCGCTCATCAGAGGACTCTTTTCTGCTTCTGGAATGGTTAATAACGCCGCCACGGCTCTCATGGCAGAACGCTTCAGTTCATCTTGCTTTTCAAATTCCTGTTTCACAGAATTTGCTTTTACCTGTTTCATTAAAAAAAGAAGGTAAAATTCAGTAAGTTTAACATACAAACCAAATCATGAAATCAATGAGTGAAATATTCAAACTGATGTACATATTCTAGACCAGGCATCCTCAAACTGCGGCCCTCCAGTTGTTTGGTTCCCCCAAAGGAGCAGGGCCTTCTCAGTGGTGGCCCCTCACCTGTGGAACTCCCGGGGAAAATCAGGACATCAACATCCCTTCTTGCCTTCAGGAGGAAGGTAAAGACGTGGTTGTGGGACCAGGCCTTTGGGCAACCTGACAATTAGATATGGAAACCAGATAGATAGGACTGAAAGGACTGACAATTGTGGAATTGAAATTTAAACTAGGAGATTGTGAAACACTGACCGTCAATGAGGTTTGTATTGCTTTTATGGTTGTTTTTGCCTATAATAATTATTGTTTTCTGTTAATTGTTGTTATTGCTAGTATTGCTGTTTTGCTAACTGATGTTATTGTCTTTTGCTGTTATGTGATGCAGGCATCGAATTGTGCCTTGCTTTTGTAAGTCGCCCTGAGTCCTCCCCGGGGTGAGAAGGGCGGGGTAGAAGCAACCGAAATAAATAAATAAATAAATAAACTCCCAGAATTTCTGACCATTGAAGAAGCTGGCTAGGGCTTCTGGGAGTTGTAAGCACAAACAGCTGAAGGTCCGCAGTTTGAGGATGCCTGTTCTAGACAGTATGCATGTGTAATAAGTAATGGCACAACACTAATTTTCATAATCCCATATAAAAATCTATTAACAAATTAAAAATTTACATGGTAGTATCCACTAGCTCAGGCCTGCACAACTTATGGCCCTCCAATGGCCAGGAATTCTGGGAGTTGGAGACCAAAACTGCTGGATGGGCTCAGGTTGCTCAGGTCGACATTAGCTCATAGAAAAGATGCCTAGAAAATAAAATGCTAATATTCTTTCCAGTACAGAGGTCACTCATATTGAAGTGCCATTTTACATACACAAAAATATTTAATTAGAAACAAGATTCTTTCTTTCTTTTTGCTCCTAGCAACGTAAGTAGAGATTTTAGTAATGCACCAATCAGTGAATAAAAGTTTAAGAAGATAATATATAGAAAATAGATTTTATTTAAACAAAAGAAGCATTAAACAAATTAAAAGAAAGTCAAATATTACCTTAGTTGTACATGTAGCTCTCAAAGGTTCAACCAGTCTATCCAGCCTCTGCAATACTGCACTTGGACATAGCGTAGACAGTCTTACCAGCATTAAAAATGTTAGCATCTGGTTAGGGAGAACGAAAATATGAATAAATAAGCCATGCAAGATGTTGCAGTATAGATTACTCCAGCCATTACATGACCTCTACCCACTGGTTTTCTTTGTCAAATCTTCTTCTGCATTCTAAATAATTCCTAGTTTATGTTGGGCACCATTTTACAGTATTTGGGTGAGAAACGTAGTCGTGTCTAATGCCAGCTACAATAAATCCTTCCACTTGTTTGATCGTACTATTTGGAAGAGCTCACCTCCTTAAAATGTGTGGAGGGCATTTTTAAAACTCACCAGTGAACCAGGTTATAACCCATTCAGTTCATTCCAGAGCAGTGGTTCCCAACCTTTTTTTAACCAGGGCCCACTTGACCAGGGACCATGCTCCAATATTATTACCAAAATGGTTATGAATGCTTAGATTTGGTGTGGTTATTTGGGGTGCCGATACATAAAAGTGCATCAGATAGACCATACCAGCTCAAGTTTCTGATACAGAACATGCCATCCAGTAGTTGCCATCTGCTCGCCCACAGAAAACCGTATTTAATAAGCCTTGGCACTATAAGAGGGTTTCATGAGCCCGGTCACTCTTGTTGCAACGGTGTAGTAACAATGAGGTCAGGGACCATATTTTAATACTTGCAGACCACTGGTGGTCCATGGACCACAAGTTGGGAACCACTGTTCTAAAGCCTTTTGTATCTATATGTCACTTCCTTCTATTCTAGTAACTCAATCTTCTTACCAGGTGTTTCCCAAATTAGTCAACATTGATGTGTGACTGATTCCTTATGGGGCTGTTCGCCACACACCCCAGATTTTTTAAAAAATATTTGTGTACCTCTTTATTTGCAAACATGCACTGAATCAGTTGGAATCGGATCATTATCCTTTACAAGTTATTTTGTTATCCTTTATCTGTCTAGAAAAAAATCAGCAGAAAGAGGAAAATAACAAAAGCTTAAAGTTCTTGCAAGTATTTCTTGAGAAAACAAATGCCTTATGTCTTAGGGCAGTATAAAATATTGAAAAAGCTTTCTTCTTAAAGCTTGTATCAGGTTATGTGTTTTTCTTTATTTCAGCCATAAAGCTTGGGATGACACATCTTTTATCAGAAAATATGCTGACAGTACAAATGTTACATAAAACATTTAGCCATTGTTATAGAAACCACTGCATTTGGATGTAGTGAAAATGTATACATATCAGAACATGTACAAGATAAAGAGCTAACCTTAATATCATAGTGATCCTTCAAGCCATCTTCAACATGGTTTAAGAATTCAAAGATGTCTAGTCTATCCAGACAACTATCCAGAAGAGTGTACATGCATTCAAAAGCTGCCTTCCTAATATCAAGACCATCATCAACTGTATGCTTAAAAGGTCCCATTTCCACCTGCAAATAAAATCAGCAACACTCAGTAGGTTTAAATGCAGTTGGCAATTAATGCTTTCCATAAATTAACATTTGACCATACAAAAATGTAAGGTTTTAAAACTTAGGATAAAATTAACCCATTCATATTTCAAAGTGAGCGTGCAGTTGTATCCAGAAAATGATTAAGATATGCATTGGTATCTTGGTATCCCAGGACCTCATGTGGATACCGAAATCTGTGAATATTCAAGTCCCATTATATATAATGGCATAGTAAATGGAGAATATAAAATGGCAAAATCAAAATTTGCTTTTTGAAATTTTTTTTCTCGAATAATTTCAAGCTGTGGATGGTTGAATCCGTGGATGCAGAATCCATGGCTGTGTATATTTTAAGCATCCAGTTAGTCAGCTTCGCTCACAATATTTATAAGCTGGAATGATTGTGAGTCTAAGAAATAAGACTTATCTTCACACTCAAGGGAAAAATTGGAAAGTGGTCATCAAATCTAAACAGACAGTTAGGTTAAAGTATTCTGTTGGGAGTGCCTTGATTCCATTTTTTGTTTATACAATTCCCTGGTTTCAGTTGAATCTGTTTTAATGTGGAATTCAACTTGAAGAAACAAGTAATTTTTCTTTCCAGCCAGGTGCTTTCCAAATTTGCCGCAGTGGACTCTCCATGGCTCATTTTCATTACTGTGTGTGTGTGTGTGTGTGTGTGTGGGGGGGGGGTGATATGTAATAACTTTAGATTGCACTGTTGGGCAACACTGATGTAATGCAGGCAGAGTGAAACACCCAAGTTACTCATTTTGTCTATTCAGGTTCTTTATTGCTTTAGGTACTTTGTAAAATTAAGGAACTTGTTTTATTGCATCGAAGATGGCGATGATTTCTCTGGTCATTTGTCCACAATATCAGAGGGTTTTTAAAACATATACACAGTTTACATACCTCTCTTATTAACTCTTTTCGGACTTTTGTTTCGTTATAAAGATGTGGAAGCACGGTATCTAGAAGGTCCCTTATAAGTGAAGGCTTATTGTGTGCCGCTGAATTAAATGTTACCAGAGCTACTCGTCTCACGTTAAGATCTGGATCTTCCAATGTTTTGAGAAAGTCACCTACAATCATAAAAATGTGATTAACATATGCTTTCATTCACTATTTGTCATGGATGAAAGCTAAAGATAAAGGCACACAAGCAACTTTGTGCTTTTCCTTCCCTGTTCCAGGCCTGGTATTCACATAATTCTGGCTTCTAGTGTTGTTTATGACAGACTATGATTTATTCCTTACTATATTCATTTTCAGAATGTCAGATTTAAATATCTGAGGAAGTAGAATTAGTCCATGAAAGAGTATGCTACCAACTTCGTTCTCTCAAGGTCTAAGATGCTAGAACAGAGGCGTCAAATTCATGAGCCTCCAGATGTTTGGCCCTCCACTCCCAGAAGCCCTAACCAGTTTGTTCAAAGGCCAGGAATTCTGGAAGCTGAAATCCAGAACATCTGAAAGGCAACAAGTTTGACACCAGTATGCTAGAAGAGTTCTTTGCATATAGTAATTTTAAATATGTTGATTAATTTTTAAATTATAGTTCTAAGCCACAGATTTGTTGGAGCATAGCTGCGGGAAAAAGCATTTCACAGAGTGAGCACCATCACATTGAACAGGGCAATGCAGCAGTCTAACTCCACAGATACCAAAAGCCTGGATCATTTAAATCACGATACTTTTGTAATGAATAACTACAATGGGCATATCAAAGGCAGTAAGGTACTTCAAATTACAGGGACCTGAAGCAAAGGCAGATTAAAACTATGCCTGAGTTCTGCATTTAATTCTCCAAAAGCAGTACACCAAGAAAAGGAAGTCTATTATAACAGATACAGGAAACTCCCAAAAAGTCTCCATCTTTATTTCAACTGAAAGCAAATACTGTCAAAAGCTTCAACCTGGCCATGAGGAAAGAGGAAAATATGAACCCTAATTTTTGTGCAATATCTTCTTGCTGTGTACATCACAATAAACCAAGTTTGACTATGCATATCAAAGTGGCATTCTCTTTGCCTTTGCTTTGTTCCATGATCTTTTGTAAGGCGATGATACATTCATAAATTATGAGGTGGATTTCAGGGGAAGCATGAGAAGAACTTCCTCATGCATCTGGATGCAAGCCATTTCTACTAAAAACAGACAGAAATTACAATTCCAATCTGATCTTTGTACAATTAATTTCTACAGCGATTTCATTTAACTGAAGATCTGCTCTACCATCAATTCCCCCCCCCCCAAAAATCCTATTATCCATGAATCTCTATATGAATTTGTTTCAACAGAATTCAAAAGATTCATGTAAATTCTTTTTATATCACATTTTCCTGAAGCTGCTGTATTACACACTTCTTAATGAATCACCACATTCAGCTTTGTTTTGATTGGTCACAGGCCTGGATGCTACTCCAAAATATATCATTCTTCCAATCACAAAAGACAGAGACTTCCAAACTGAGTACCATTTAACTTCACAGGAAAAACTCATTAACTGCAATGATTCCATTACTTTACTTTAAAAGCAACATTAATAACTAAAACTTAATTCTCTCTGTATTAAGAAAAAACTTCATACATTTTTCCATTCCACTTTCTTTCTGGTGGCAGCAGCATTTGCTGTCTTATATTAATATTACGCACTGCTATGACATACAAGAAAACTGTATAAAAATGATGCTAGTAAACAGATTTCCGGAACAGATGAAAACATCCTTGGATCTTTTTCTAACTTCACAAATCTTACATAATCTTAGTCACCAACAAATTCATGTTTTTTTCCCCACTGAACTTTATACAGATGAAATCTACATATGTCATGATAAGGTGGGATGATCTGCTGTTGGCAAAATGAACAAAATTCAACTGTGCCATGAAATAATGCTGTACTTTGCTTTAAAACAAAGCAATACCAAAAGTGCATGTTATATTTTACAACTAAATTATTTTTTCTTCCCTACTCAATTTTGGTGGTGGTATCTAACAGCTCCAAAAACAGCATAGAATTTGCTAACAGACAGCATAGAATTTGAAGGAAAAACATGCCCTCCTCGAAGCTATTGCACTTTTACTCACCTATACAATTCTTTAATAAAGGATCTATGGGTTGAGGATGATCAGAAATGGTGAACTTCACAGCAGTGACTACTGAACTTCGAGCATATGATGATCCTAATAGGAAAGGATTAAAAGCAAATGATTGTGTTCAATTTCCTCAACCTAACATTATAAAAATGCAATTAATTAACTAATAATTTTGCTTATAATGAAGGAACTAGCTACTTAAGCTCGCTCAAGTGGCATATACCATTGAATGGCATATGACTGTGACACTATCCCATCTTTAAAAAACTGAAACCCATTGCATTTTCAGAAAGTTTCTTATCTTTTATGAGGATGAAAAGGCTATTGAAAAAAAAAACAAGTCTAAAGTACCTCTTGATCTCATAAGCTAAGTTCTATGGAGCATAGGCCTACATTAATTATGTTTAGGAGATTCTCCCTTCTCTGAGCTGAGCAACTTCTTAATCATTTCAGAATACCCATATCTCTTATTTTTCCATGTTTTCAAACCCTTTGTGTATTTTTTTTTTGTCACATTGAATCCTGCTAATTACTCGATGTTGCTCTTTGGTGTTTTAATAATTTTATATTAGTTTTACTCGATTTCCCAATAAGCTGCCCTAGAATATGTTGAATTGTGAGATACAAAATTGATAAATAAGGTTTGTGCCTGTCATATATCATCAAGTAAGAATGAGAAGAACATGCAACAAACAATGAACAACCAGACAGAAATGCTTCCCACCAGCTTGATCTCAAAAGATCCTTTCTGTCATCCCAAGTGACAAGTGAACACTCTTAATTAGATTATCATCATGTAATATATTTTGCACTCAAAACTTAATACTTATACATGTCTTAAAATACTTTCATTAGACAATTAATTTGTTCCTTCTACAACATATCAACATTTGATTTTAAAAATACTTTCAAGAGGAATTATTGTAGCAGTCTGACATTTTTCTTTGAGGGCTTGGGGGAAGGAAGACTTTTGTGTGCTGTTTTGTTTATATTAATAGGCATGCTTCCAATAAATTTTATTTTTACTTTTAATTATATATTTTAAAATTTTGGTATGGTCTCTCTTGAGCTCCAGACTACAAAAATGTAATTCTAATGTAATTATACATTGTTTTAAAAGTTGAAATATTCTGATCTTTTTCTTAATCACAAAGCTGATGTTCACTACTACAGTCTATAGTTATTAGAACCGATAGGACTATTCTGAAAAAGGGAAACAACTGGTTGGTAGTCAAAATAGTACATAAAGATATGAATGTCTACTAACCGGATGCCAAATATCCTTTGAGACGTGGAAGTAGAGTTTCCGGGTCTATTAATGTAAGCTTCCCCAAGCATTCAGCAACAACATTCCTAGTACCCTCTTCTGCACACTCACAGTGTTTCAGGAGCAAAGACCAGATGTTCTCCACATATGGTTTTAGACCTTGAACTGATGCAGAGCTAATTATCTCCTTCAAGGAATGCAGCAGGAGGTATTGCCTTTTAGGCTGGCTGGTTATTTCTTGTAAGACAAATGGAAGGTATTCAGGAAGATTGCCGACACTGATGCTGCCCAATGCATAAGAAGCTGCAGACTTCACTTCTTCGCTAGGAGAGGAGAATGCTTCGAGTATCACAGATTTTAGCTCTATTTGCCCACTTAGGTCAATATGATGTCCAACTTCCCCAAGAGAAAGCAAAGCTAAAAGACGAATGGAATCTGTAGATCTTGAGTTCTTGACATCCTGAATAAACTGACCTACTACTGCTGGTCCCTCTTTGGGGCATGCTCGGGTAAGAGCAGCTACACATTTGGCAATGGAATAATAAGACTGCTTATGAGTAAGTGCTGTACTCTGAGAATACACTGGCCCTGTTAGCATGCGCAATAAGTCCATATATCCCAAATTACTTGTTCCAGTTACAACCAGAGCTTGGAAAAATTCTAGCATGGCACTAAGTGCTCCACCCTGCAAAAGTGGTGACCTCACTAGCCCAATAAGTTCATTCAGTATGGACCCACTGATTTTCGAGAGAGAGGAAGGATAAACTTTAGCTAGTGTGGTCAAAAAGCTGATGGCCATTTGTGAGACATGCATATCACTCTCACTAATAAGAGGTGGAAGCTCATCTAAGACAGCATCAATCATAGCAGCTGTCAAACTGTCACTGTAGTTTTTGATTAAAATGTCTAAAGCAGCAAGTGTCCCAAGTTTCAAAGCGCGCTGGTTCTTTCTGAGGAAGGATGCAAGAATAGGAACACCTTCTCCTAGAATTGGCCTTAGATCTATCTTCAGAGGAGAACCAGCTATAAGAGTCAAAGCCTTCACAGTGGTCAACCGCGTGATCTCATTTTTCAGTCTCTCTAAGAAGATCTGAAGTGTACTAGGTAAATCAGAGCCAAGATTGTCACCAAGACTGCAAATGATTTGACCCATACAGGAGATTGCCCTCTCTTTTACTTCCTGATCAATATCAGCAGCTTTCAGTCTCTTGATTGTACAAGTAAACAAATCTTTGATATAAGGAGTGGCATCAAAAGAAGAAGGCTGATCCAGAGGGCGAATGACCTTCACAAGCTGTTGAGTAACCAGAAGTGCTTCTGATGTTATTTTATAAAATGGGTCTCCAACACATGCGACAACAGGAGGCACCAAGGCCTGAACATGAGGATGGAAAACTTGGGGAGCGTGATTACAGAGGATCACATACAAACACGATAAAGCATCTATCTTCAGATTAGAGGAACTTGATTTGTCATTCAGCGAAAAAATTATGCCTGAAAAACAAATGCAGAGTTAATAAGTATCATCTGAGATCTAAAATGTGTTTGGGTTATATAATTGGTAACATCTGATTTAGACTAAGCACAGATCAATATTTTTCCAAACTTACACAAAATCAGCAGAGATGTAAGAAAGGGCAATCTGATGACATATCATAACCATAAAAATATATTTTTCATACCTGGAACAAGTACAGGAACATGTTGCGTGAGAGCACCAGGTAAAACATTGACCAATTCAGTTAGCATGTTAAAACAACACTGCCGAGTCTTCACACTTTTTTCCTTCATTTGTTTGTGCAAGGCTTTAACGATGTTGGGAACCTGTAATTAATATATACTCATTATACAATGTGGCAATGCTTTGAATACATAAACCTGCAAATTATGTATGGATGGCTCTTAAATATATATGGTGAAACAGATCAAAGGTGCATTTTGTTAGCATTCCATTTTCATAGTCTCATGGTCAGGAATATTTATGTATTTGGCTGTAAAAAGAGCCCAAAAACTGATAGCAAAAATCTCTCTGAACAAGGCCTGAACAAAAGCTCATTGTTAACACCATCTATACTGAAAGCTATGTATTTATATCAGGGGACTGATAACACCACAGCATAAGTAGAAGTAATAAAATTGTATACTGCTTTGAGATTAAAAATCCATTTTCTTATATTCAACCCAACAGATATATTTTGTGCTGCAACATTCTGACATTTCATTCACTCACCTGACTTTGGAGCATTGTTAAAGGCGTCTCTCCTTGTTCCATTGCATCAGGATCACAAAGCCAACTCTGCACAGGTCGGGTTTGTTTCAAAAGAGAGAGGTAGGCATGGAAAACATCTGCTTTTACATTCTCCTCTCGTTCCTTGAATCTACCAATTAAAGCAGGAGATACTGTCTTGTAGAACTCAGGTAGCATTTCATGCCGGGTACTGACTACAGCATCCAAGCATTTTGCAGCTGCACGTCTAACCTTCCAGCTCATGTCATCATCATCACTATATTCATCATCACTCCCTTAAAAAGAACAGAAGGACATTATAAAATAATTACAATTAATGATCACAACTTACAGATTGCCTACGTTATTATTTATACAATTAAAATACATTGTATCACATCCTGCCCTGAAGTCCTTGAATGTAGAATATCTATATTTCAATATTGGTGGTGATTACTGAATCTAAATACTGCTGCAACTGCAACTTCCAGCAGCTCTAATCAGCATATGGATTTTATGCCCTGCCGGGGACTGGGCGGGGTTACCGCCAAAATTTGAAAAGTTTAAACTAGAGAAGTTTCCGTTCGCATTCACAGAGACCACGAAGACAATCAGCAGTTCTATGGCAAATTCATATTTAGATATTCAAGATAGCTTTCATGGTAATATGACTGAAAAAAGTAGATTTTACAACAAATGAGTTCTGACAGAAAATAATTTATAAAAAGGGGGCCCCAAGGAAAATAACTTAAGACCCTTGCACTTGTGTTGGAATATGGAGAAACTCACTTGTAGTGAATTGCTCCTTGTGCCTTCCCAAGAGTGTATACATACATAAGAAATAATAATAATAATAATAATAATAATAATAATAATAATAGTAATAATAATCTTTATTTATTCCCCGCCACCGTCTCCCCAACGGGAACTCGAGGTGGCTTACATGAGGCCAAGCCCAGACAAGATATTACAGCAAAATAAAACCAAAAACATAAGCAACAAGCAACAGCATCATAATTACATAAAAACATATGAATAAATTAACAATATAACATTACAATAAACACAATGACAATGACAATGGGTGGGCCACATGTACAGAATAAAATGTTAAAAAACTCAAATGAGATAAGAAGAGGAGCAAGTTATTTGCAAAAGGGAATTCATAAAAAACACAGGATTGTGGAACCAGACTTTCCCGGGGGTGGGGGTGTACTCCAGTGACCGAAGCGCTGAGGGGAGCGGTGGTGTCATGTTATAAACAATATAACGGCTACTTTGTACTTTATATATTTTGAGTTCTCCCTACCGGTCTTAATTGGTAAGAGGAAAATTAAAATGGGGCTAGAGTACCTCTTCCTAAATAAAATTTCAGCTATCATATTCTGGAAATCACCTTATAACTGCAATTGAATGTGCTATATTTAGCACCTTGAAAAGTTTATTCTCCACTGAGCATACCTTGATCATCATCATCTCCACCATCAGCATCCATAGCATTCTCATCTTCATCCTCATCATCATAATTGTAATTGGGATCATAGGTAAGGTACTTAAGACAAATGTTTATAATAGTAGTGACATGAGGATAAACTTCTTTAGGACATCTGCAGAATAAGATTAACAATAATTAAGTAACTACTGAAGAAAAGCTATTACAGTGCAGGTCTACTTGAAACAATTGTGTCCATGAACAAAGTACTATATTGAGGAAAGATGTTAAGAACACAAAATTTTCAAACAATTATTTTTAGATTGCATATGTTTAGCTGTATTGAAATTATCAAAGCAAGAAGCAAGCTAAAATTTAGCCCAATGACAAACACTCAAAGAATGAAGCAATTTCATAGGAAATGATTTGGGGCTTTTTCTACTTTACTCTAGTTTCACGAAATCTAGATTCCATTGTCATTATCTTTTATATTTTAGAGATAACCACTAAAACCCAAGCGCACCTAGGACAACCTTACCTCCTAACAAAAGATTCAAATGCTTGAATGCAATATTCTCGAAGTTCATCGTCATCTATATTGCAAAATTTTACTACCAAAGGTATAATTTTCTCCAGGTATTCACCTGATAGCAAAAAAAAGAGGAAATAATCATTTACATGAAGCATTTAATATGAAAAATAATAAGATTTCAATAACACGTAGATTTATTTACCTATTCTATGACCTGCTTGCCTACTGATGGCAGCAATACACTGTATATAGGTCCTAGTTGTTGACATGGAATCATTTTTAGAAAGCTCTGTCAACAGATGCTCAATAAGATCAACAAACACTATGTTGCCACAACTCATTACAAGATGACCAAGAGCAATGATGGTTCTTTTTCTCACAGCAAGCCTTGGACTAGTCAGCTGAGGAAGCAGACAGGTCAGAATAGAAGGATGGAAGTTAACGAGCAGTCCTCCTTGCCTTAAACAGATAAAAATTAATTCAGAGAACACAGTAAATATAAAAATTATGTTGCCCAGGTGTTTCTATCATACATTTTTCTCTAAGTGTATGTACACTTCCAAATATTTTTCCTAGTAACACTTAAGCTATCTTTGCTCTATCCAATACCCTCCCTCCTCTCAATGACTGAAAACAGGAGCAAATAACATACACTAATAACTTTGTACTCATGCACATTTATAAACTCTTCAACAAAAAAGTCTTAGACATGTAAATGCCAGATAAAAACTACTTGAAATAATTAGTAAGCTCCTATATGCTTAAAATAAACTGCTTCTGATTTACAGTGCTATTGTTGAGTGCCATAATCATTATTTTAAGACATTAATAATTTTAATGGTACTTTTATTTCTAACAACTGAACTATAACAATGCTATATTATTTTGTTGTTATATGAATTGTTCTATATCAACTTGAGAGGATTTTGTCTAGAAAGCTGGCCTAAATATGATTATAAAACAAAACGCACTCGGCAGTTTGTAGAATGACTCAATATCAATTTCTTTAATATACATGTTTACCTGCTCAGCATATCAGCCATAATGTCCAAGGCCTCTAACTGAACAGATACATCTTCTTGCTTGGCAATTGCACTAGTGAGACGACCAGTGATCTTTTTACAAACATTAGCTGCTAATGCAGAACCTACAAATATGACAGCACACAATGTTTGGTCAGCAAATGTCAACATACACTCTCACAAAGAGCCTGCATCAAACTATATTAGTTTTTACATAATTTTTCAAAATACATATGTTTTTCTGTGATAATTTATGAGAAGGCTGAAAGATAATTCTGGAGAAGGACATTCTGATTATTTTCTAAGAATCTGTAACTTCAAAAGACACAATCCTGCAAACTGATGACACACATACACTATAATCCAGTAGGAGCAATTTCTGTTTGAAATTCCAAGCAGAAACAACAACTACAAAATTATTCAGAAGAAGTGCAAAAGAAAAGCATCTCATGAAAATGATTTTCTTTTCTTTTTTTACAGCTTCAACCTACAACAAAATGCTGCACTGCAGAATGTTCCCGATAGATTAATCTACTTCATTTCCCGTCTTTTCCTCTTCAGGAAGTCTACATTCTACATTAGCTGAGCAGTCTCCGGCTATTTGGTTGTTATCGTTATTGTAATTAAATGCCTAAACACATTGTCCTAGCAAGCAAATATCTCATCTCTAGGAATTTGGAAAGTGTCATTATATAGTGTAATGTAAGCAAGAGCATTCACTTTCAAAATGTAAACAGAAAAAATTATATTTATGGTACAACATCAACTGTAAGATGTTTCTCAGACATCAGGAGAAAAGTACATTCATGTATTAAACTAACCATATTATGTCTACTGCATCCTAAAATGAAAAGCTAATAAAATTAACATTAAAATCAGGATAGAAAGGAATACATATGCTGTTATAGATTTCTTCAGACCTGGAGTCAAGCTGTTCAATTAACTTATTTCCATTAATTTTGGGTGTTTTTTTAAAGTATTCTCACAAATAGGACAGTTATGTACAAAAGCTTTAATGGACATTTCCCCTTGAACTGGCAATTCCTATTTCAATTACATGGGGCAATACAGCTCTGTGCAAATAACCACTGACCTCAATAAGAGGAAAATGGCAACAAAATTGTGCATGCCTTAAAGTCGAAAATAATTTTGAAGAAAGAAAGTGTTAATCAGATGAGCAGCTAGCATTAATATAACAGATAAACAAGAGAACAGGAACGGAATGAAGCCAAAGAGCTAAAAACCTACGAGAATAAAGATTTCATACACTTATCTAGTTCAGAGGCAGATGAAATATAAAATAGCTGGATTAAATTACTATAGGCTATTTTCTTTGAGAAACATCATGTTATAGTGCAAGGACAACTATATTCCAAACTACAGGTAGAAAAGTAACCAGGGGGATAGGGTGAGCAGTTTACAACCTGCATGCTTCCACCATAAATTCAGGACCATGCTGTACAACAAACTACTATCACACAACACCATATATTTAATCTTAAGCAAGGACAATATGTGGGTCAGATTTAGCTCCTGAAATCTTCTTGCTTGCTTTCTCCTCAAACACCTATGCTAGAAATTACATCAGAGAATAAAAGCACTTAGTACCAGTGATTACCATTTTCCTATCCCATTATTTTTGGAATGATCAGGTAGCATTTTAAATTTCAGTAAAATAATCCTCAGTATTGCTTAAAACTGTGTTTCAACTTCTGTTCATTAACCAAATCAAACAAGAAAGCAATAACACAAAGAAAAAGAGGAAGAGTTACCACTGGAAGCAGGAGGAAGTTCTCCAATGACTGTTTTAAGGCCAATGCTTGAAATATCACGAAGCTGCTCTTTATCAGAAAGCATATTTGTACAAAGGGTATCTACAATCGTCTCCACTTGGTATTCTTTCACTTTACTCACTAATGGCCCGAGGCTGTAAGAAAACCCACAAAAAATTCACTGGAACTTAAAGATGAATGAAAATCACACCTAAGCATTTACTTATTCATACTGACAATTACAATGAGGGCTAAACATCAGCACAGATATAAGCTTACTTGCACCAAATTAAATAAAAAGCTTTCAGATCTAACTGTGTTTGATTGCAGTATCTATTTTATGATGTTATCTTAATTGAACATACAATTAATTTTAGAGAACTGACAATTTTAAAAACGATATGCATGTTCATAAAAAATATTCAGCAGCTAAAAATTTAAAAGCATATCAAGTTAGAAGCTTTTTACAACACAGAATACATATGCTGCAGAAACTATCACCACCTGTTGGAGAAACGGTTGTCTTATTGGGTCAACTCATACTCTTTTAGAAATAGGTTAAGCTGAAGTTATGCTGAAATACCTTGATATTTTACAAGCAAAAAATGAAAGAACTGTACACATAAAGATTCATTGTCACACTGTGGAATTTAATCTGGAAGAGCTCTTGTTGTTTATGTAAACAAACTCCATACCTAAAATCCTTTCTGAAAAAATGATTTTCCTCACAATTTACAAAATTCTGAAAGACGTTCATGAATAAAGGAAAAACATATAAGCAGAAATTATCTCAAAAAACAAAACCCTAACAGTTGAAGCAGTGAAACTAGGGCAACTGTGGCCCTCCATATGTTCCTGGACTGCAACTTCCATCAGCTGTAGCGAGAATAGACAGTAATTTGGGATGACCGAAGCTGTAGCCTAATAATTTCTAAAAGGCCAGAATTGACCGCTTTAGATAGACTAGGATATAATGGTGCATACTGATACTTTTAAGAATTAAATTTAAATTGCAGTGGGGGGGGGGGGGGGGGGGGAGAGAGAGAAAGTGACAATTGCAATGGCACTATAACACTTGTTAGTATTACACACAAGGTAGTACAGCAAACACCCCTTTTTAATGCCTTTAACGTGAAATCTTGATGAGGCAATTCTAAACGAAACACAAGATAGTGCCAAAAGTTGAGACTCACAATTCAGATAGCTCTCAGTGAGCACAATGGAGTATAGCAGAGGACAACTATGAGTAGTAGAGTGTGTTATGACAGAGCTGGAGACAAGCTGAAATGACATTCAGCTCTTGATGTGCTCAGCCATGAAAGGAAAATCTGAAGTAGCACAACCCAAATTACAAGTCATTGGAATGTGAGAAGCATGAATCAAGAGAAGCTAGACACAATAAAACAAATTGAAAGTAAAAATATTTAAATACTTTGTGGAGGGGGTGGGATAAAAGTGGGCCATTTTGAGTCAGATAATCATGGTGTTTTACTCAGGAAAGGAAAAAATAAGAAGAAATGGAACAGCATTAATAATGAGAAAAGATGCGGAAAAGCAATCTAGGATTACAATACAAAGTATGACTAAATCATAGCAATAAAGCTTCTGGTAATACCCATGAATATAAACTTAAATCAAGTTTATGATCCAACTACAGAGGCAGAAGAAAAAGAAACTGAACAATTGTATGCTGGAGTCCAAGAGCAAACAGCTCACATCCCAAAAAAGGACTTCTTGCTAATCATAAATGGTTGGAATGCCAAAGCAAGAAACTAATGAAGAACCAAATCATAGGAAAATTTGGCTTAGCATCAGTGACTGAATTTTGTGAGATCCATCCCCTCCGCAAAGACAAAATCAGGAGCAGACTGTGGCACAGACCATAAACTGCTAATCTAAAAAATAGAAGAAAGCTAAAGAAAAACACTAAACAAACCATTATGCCAATATACAACTTGTAGAATATAATGTGAAATTGGAATATAATGTGAAAAATGCAAGAAAGAGGTGCTCAACATTCTACATCTAAGATTATTAACATATATGAAATGAGAAATGCCAGATGTCCCAAAATAAGCAAGAGGCTCTAGAGATCATGTTGCAAGCATATGTTGGGTAATTTCATGCAGCACAGAAAAATGACCAAATTTATTTACATAACCTTGAAGCAGACACTGAAACAGTTCAAGATTTCCAATGTTTGGCTTAGTCACTAAACAAAATTGAAACTGCAGTCAAGAAATCAGAAAAAGGCTAGACCTTGGAAGAGTAGCTATAAATGAATTAGACAAGAGGCTGAAGTGTAAGCATTTATCACTAAATACTAAAGTTAAGCTCATCCATACCACTGTATTTCCATTGTTTATGTATGACTGTGAAATATGGACAGTGAAGAAAGTTGATAGGAAGGAAATCATCTAATAAGATGTAGTACTGGAGAAGTGTGCTATGGATACCATGGACAGCTATAGAGAGAAATGAGTACTAAAGCAAACTAAGCCTGGACTCCCCATAGTAGTCAAAACGACTACACTAAGGTTGCCATACTTGAACATATCATGACAAGTAATAGAAATCCCAGATGTACAGACTCAGTCAAAGCATGCTTGGCTCTGAATCTGCAAGATTTGGCAGTCTTTTATTTATGGATTTCCTATAAATCAAAGAACCTCATGGTGGTTAATAATGAACTACAGTTGGGTGTCTGCTCTATGCAATAAGCACATTACACAAAATTAAAACCAATAAGGTATATGACCCTAGTGTTAAATCAAACTACACTACTCTTCATAATGGGAATTATTTTTTCTTCCCATACAGAAAATAATTCTGGAGATTTTCCATGGTTTTTAAAAATTGAAGTGAATGGAAGTCAGGGCCAAGTAGTCAACTGTTGTATCCTAACGGTAGAAAGCTCTCAAGTACACAACCAAAATACAATATTTTGCGTAATAAACATACAAGTATACATGAAAACAAATCCTTGGGGTGATTTCTCCACTATTTATGAATCTATTCTGATTCTGTTTTTAAGAATTAGACCAGCAAAAATGCCAAGAAAGCATTGTTTTTATGTACAAAAGTAAACAAAGTACTGATAGTTTTGAGTAATCATACATATAAATGATGAATATAATTTTTTAACTAAAGATAGGACTTTTATGCAACCTAAATGTTTTCAAATATTACACTGATTACATTCAAAGAAAATGTTATTGCCACTGTCACAGCCAATGGCAGTAAAAAAAAGGAAATAAAAACTTTACATGTAATCATAGGGGTGGTATCAATATATATGTACAGCACACACAAACAGGTCTGTCTATAATAATGTGTATCCTAGATAAAGTAACTGATTTAGCTTTCAAACAAGAACCATGTTCAGGTAAATATATGTGCCACTGGTGATCTTCAAAGATATGGGGAAGGCTGGAACACAAATCTCTGAATGCCTTTTGCTAATCCTTGGAATATGCATAAGGGAAAACGTGACAGATACTTAAGAAACTGTTTATTATGTAGAATGAGCATAAGGGAAAACGTGACAGATACTTAAGAAACTGTTTATTATGTAGAATGAGGAAATACAGGATCATTTTTTCTCTAAGGGTTATTTAAGTTAAACGAAGCAGGTTTAGAACAGAGCTGCTCAGAGAACTGGTTCATGGTCCAGTGTTAGTCTGTACTAATACAGTAATGATGTCTTGAGGTGGAATTTGCTGTTCTAACATCACATACCATATTTTTAAGCAACACTGGTTTAAAACAAGCATCAAGTAGCATACCAAAGAATTAAACACAAAGCACTTTCTATTTTTTCATATATATGATCACATCAGTGTATAAGTAATAAAATTTAGTAAGATTTATACATACCATTTGACAGCTAAATTTTGCACTTCACCATTTTTATCTTCCAACAACTTCAAAATCATTTTCACAACCTTCCTTTCACTGTCATCATCTAGCTTGATAGAATCTTTCTGTAGCTCAGTCATCAAGTCATTTGTTGCCATGAACCTATGAAATCAAGTCAATTCTTTTAGTATACTGTGGCTTTACACCACAAACTATATAACAGATGTCTACTATTCATCTTCAAATCTATTTACAAAATATTATTAAATTAGGATATCTTTAATTATAGTATGTGCTACACTAGAATGCAAATAATAGTTCCCAGACAACTGTTTTATTAACATATTGTATAGAAAATTTAAGAAGGAAAATACACAATAATTTGATGGTACAGTAATATATATATGGACACAAATATGTTGGCCTCAGTGCATTATTCAAAAGCATATGCCACAGTAACCTTAACAACACTAAGGAGATCTGGGTAGAACTTAAATAGAAATATTTGTGAATACTGACCAAAATACAATTACTAGCCCCAATTAAATTACTCCAATAGAGCTAGTGTTTTTGTAAATGTTAAGTTATAATCCAGTTACTGATTCAATGGGTCTACTTTAGCTGCAATCTGCATTTGAATTTATTTATTTATATTCTGCCTTCCTTAACTTTAGGACTCAAGATGGAATGAATTTCTTTTCATTTTAGTGTATTTGACCCTTAAAAATTAGGGTACATTTTTTCTGTTCTAGTTTGTATTCACAGACTTTCTGTAAACATTAAAAAGCATCAATATTGTAGTACTGTTTGAGTTCTCTAAGGTCAGAGAGATGAAGCACAGCTGCTCCACCTGAACTGTTCTATTCCCAATCACGTGATTTTTTATTCCAGTCCCAACTGCTCTGTAAAATTAATGCTGGCTCTTGCTGAACTGGTTTTGTTTGATTTTAACTGAATGTATTTGAATGCATCAATTACATTTTTGAGCATTTATGACCAGCTCTCAGAATCTTGGATGAAGAGTGGAAAATAAATCAATTGTTAAATGAATGCACAAATAATAGCAAAAAAGGAAAGGGAAGAAGCTAGTTTGACACTCAGGTAATATGAGAAGTGGCACATTACAAGGCTGAATAGGTCTGGAGAAATTATCATCTTTTCATTTTAAACACAGAATGCCAAGCAAGGACTTGAATCCACATTTGAAGTATGAATACCCAGTATTACATACTAGTATTAACGGGTAATTTGCATTATAAAAGACAATCAAACCAGATTAAGAGGCCTTCAACACACATATATGCACATATGTATCCTGACTGCAACTAATCTACTAAATCTACCGCATCCCTAGCCAAAGGATTCAACCCTTCATAGCTTAAAAATATAAATTACAAACATAAAAACTCAAAAGGAAAACTTTAATTTTGCCATTTATATAAATAACAATTTTACTACGCCATTGTATTTAATGGAACTTAAGCATCCACAGATTTTAGTATTCATGGGAGTTCCTGCAACCAAACCCCAGTAGATAGCATGGGCCTATTGTATTCCAAATTGGGGGAAATAAATGATTACTGTTGAAAATTGTATCATTTTAAACAACTACACTGTACCTTTTCCTCTAAGATAATGACAAGGTTATAGTCTTGACAGTTACAACTTTCAATAACAGCTGAGGAGCATAGTAAATTGGGGGTGCTCTATTATGTCACATTTGAAATGTGTTTATAAAGTATTAAAAAGATATTGAAAGTAACTTTCCTCCAGTAACATAACCATTACAACTAAAAGCTGTATTTCCCAAAACTATGGTTGTTCAATAGTGTATTAAAAGCATCTTATGAAGTAATTATATAGTACATTATCTTCAGCATATATAGTGCGGTGCATTAGCAGATACTTCTTTCATTTWCTTACATACTCTTCTAATGTCTGGTCTACTAAAAATGCAGTAGTACACCAATGACACCTACTACAGAACACTGCTCCTTAAACTGTGGGTCCTGATCCAAAGTGAGATTCTCTTTACTCAGTGTTTGGGGGGGGGGGGGTCACAGTAATTGGCAATAGTGGATCCTGCAAGAAATTCTTCAGATATACTCCATAAAAGGGAAATCAACCTGTTTAGTAAGCCCTGCAAATGTTGGTTTATTATCAGCAAATGTTTGGTTTTCATATCTAMTCTATATAATAACACATTTTATTTATTACCTGCCTCTGATGGCTRGAGGTGGATACAACAAAGTCAAACACATACGAACATAAAATAAATACAATAATTACATAGATAAAACCACAACCCCACAGTCAGTAAAAAGGTCTTCTGGTTTACGGTCACCACTTGGGTTCTGGCTGTTTGGAGTAAGTGTCTGCCAAAGGTCTTAGGATTGTTCAGGAGAAGGCGATCCTGTAGGTAACCTGGACTCAAAGTACATTGGGCTTTAAAGGTCAAAATCAACACTTTCTATGTTGCCCAGAAACTAATTGGCAACCAATGAAGTGACTTCAATATGGATGTAATATGGTCACTCCTAGATGTTTCTGTAACCAATCTGGCTGTCATGTTTTGAATTAACTGGAGTTTCTGAACTTGAAATAAAGGTAACCCAATGTACAACAAGAAGTCCAACACTGGGGTTCCCAGCATGTGCACTACCATTTTTAGGCCTCCTAATTCTAAGGGGTGCAGCTGGAATATCAGCCGAAGTGGGTAGAAAGCACTCCTCTCCCCTCTCTCTATTGTGTTTGTTTGTTTGTTTGTTTGTATGTATGTATGTATGTATATATATATATATATATATACATACACACACACACACACACACACACACACACACACATACAGTGTTCCCTCGCTGCTTTGCTGTTTGCTTTTAGCAGACTTGCTGTTCCACAGGTTTTTGAAAATATTAATAAAAAATATTAAATATTTACGTCCAGTGGAGGCCAGGGACCTCGGAAGTGTAGTGGCCTAAGGCACGGTGGGGAAGGCCTGCTGCCCTGCCCTGCTGCTGACTGCATGGATCAGGAGGCTCTGAGGAGGCCAGGGAGGCAGGCAGGTGCCCTTGGGATGGGCCGGGAAGTGGGTAAGGAAGTGTGGGTAAGAAAATAATATATAAAATAATGTAGAAATATTAAAATTAATATGGCGCCCCTACTTCACAGATTTTCACTTATCGCGGGTGGTCCTGGAACGTAACCCCTGTGATAAGTGAGGGAACATTGTGTGTGTTTGTGAGTATATATATATTATCTGGGGTTATGTAATAATTTCTTAGAGGAGAAAGGGGTCTCGAGTGGAAAAAGTATAAGAAGCCCTGCTGTAGAAAACCTATCTCTTCTGGCAGACCTACCCAATCCATTTTAAACAGTGAATTTTAACTTTACGTGTTGTTAGTATTAATATTAAACTTTGTTCTGTGTATTTAACATATGCATTTTAATAGTATTATATTTAATCTGTGTATTTTAACCATGTTGTACCCCATCTAAAACCATGAGATACAGGTTGTTGTTATTATTATTGTTATTATTTCTGCTGCAATCCAATGAAGTGTCTTTGGTCCTAAACAGCTGCCATAGCTCCATTGGTGGTGTGCTTTCAGGCACAATTCAAAAGTGCAGGTTATGACATATGAAGTATTATATAGACTATTCCTTTATACAGGCTACCTGTGTTTGGAAAAGCACTTCGTACATCAGTTGGGGACATGGAAGAGAATATTTGTTGTGCCTGGTCCTGGGAACAGAGACCTCCTTCTCAGAGAATCAAGACTGGTACTCTCCTGGTTATCCTTCCACGGGAAAGTGCTTGCTTCAGTGACTTTTAAAGAGATAACTGTTCATGGGGAAAGGGCGTTAAATAATATACTGCACTGTTTATATCCCCCCCCCTCTTTTCCAGTGGGCATACTTTTATTTGCTTTTAATTCTATTAATAATTTAATTATATTTTAAAATATAATAATGAGGAAGGGAAAGGACTTACAAACGCCTAGCATAGATGTGAGGCATTTTCCACACTATCTAGGTTATAATGTGGACTGTGTGTTTTTTTACTGCAATTTATCCTACTAGCATTAGCTAATTTGAGCACAACACGATGGGGAAAATAATAAAATAGTAGCTCAAGACTACACCCACATTATCTTCATGTTCCATTTTACAGTTCCTATACACAGACTCTCTTTTTAGAGTTAATTATCACTAAGCATAATTTAATTTGTGCCATGCTTTTCTCTTGATATGCGATCCAAAGTATCTCACAATGAGTTAAAAAATACAGTTAGAACAATGAATAATAGACATGTAAAACAACTGAACAATCATATTAAAAACATTGCTTTAAAAAGTTTTTAAAAGCCAGTTTAAAATACAACAGTAATAATAATGAAAATGGAGGTGCAATGCACACTCTTTAAAACTCCTTCTGAAACAGACAGTGAGTACTCAAAAGTGTGGATGCAGAAGAGTAGGAAATGCCACAGTCTGGGAGCAGCCAGCGAGAAGGCCATGTTCTCTTCAAAAGTCCTTAGGTGGGGGAACTGAGAGAAAACTTCCTCAATTATTTTAAAATTCAGACAGGCTGATATAATCTGAGTCCAAGAAGTATAGAATTGTATAGGTCATAACCACTACTTTGAACTGTGCCAGGTTATTTCAGTCATAGCCTTAATGCTAATCTTAGTTTGCTTTAAACAATGCTTCAATTGGGGGTTCAAAGTTGTTTTTTTAAAAAAAACATTTTATTATGTTATAAACACAAATCAATAAGCCAAATTCCAAGTATTACATGTATAAATCCTGAGTAATTCAAAAAAAAATTTAAGACATTATATCTGACTGGCATTAACATTTGTGCAAATAAAAAAGATTAGGACAAGTAAATAGTTTAGTTCTTGCAGGAGAAAGAAAAGCAAGATAGGCATTCTTAAACCCATTGAATATATGGAAAGGGGAGTTTCATCTTAATTAAAGGGCTCATAATAGTAAGACAAATGCTAGTGGAAGTGGAATTCCATTTTTAGATAGTGCTTCCAACTAGCCAGTATTTATTTTCACAATGAGACTGACGATTATTTCAATACTTCAGTCATCAAATTAGGACAAGAGTCCTGGACAAGACAAGGGGAGCACAGGGATGAAATAAAATAAAAGAGGGGGAGGAAAAATGCATAATTATAAGAATGTTGAACTTATATATCATATATTATGTATCATAATTGTTATACACACTTTATTACATGCACAAAACTCTTAAAATATTACATAAAATTGTTTGCAGGCTGTGTGTATGAAGTGTGTGTGCGTGAAACAAATGTATTTCATTTGTTTATACATCTCATTATGTAGTGACATGCAAATACAAGTACAGGAAGTCCACAAGTTACGAATAAAATAAATTCTGTAGGTTTGTTCTTAAGTTGAATTTGTATGTAAATTGGAACTGGTACATTTTTTTGAGTGTACCCTCATTCATTCACATTCACACACACACAAAGCTTTTGATAGCATAGGGAAGGGTTAACACCCCTACATCATTTGTTTTGCTGCCTGTGCCCCTTTTCAAAAGATTTTACCTCACTTTCATCCCTGTGACAACTGGATCTTGAAAAATACGGTTTGTTGCAGAAACAAGGATTGGTGTGAAACCTTCAGTGTAAGTAAAACTTTACTTCTATCTACATCTCCCCAGGGGGTTTCAGGGTGGCTCACAACATAAAAGGTAAAGATGAAATGCCATAAAAATACAACAATAAATTAAACATAAATTTGTATTCCGCCCTATCTCCCCGAGTGGACTCAGGGCAGATTCCAACAAACAAAAGGCAACTCAACAACTTGACAAGACCATCAATTCAAATACAAGTACAATAACCTGACCAAGTCTCAAAATAAACCAACAAATGCAGATAAGTGATACAAAACATTCAACAGTAAGCCAGTCATGTGAAAAGCAATAATTAAAAATTACACAATGTCAATAAAAACAGAGTTAAAAGGTCCAGTACAGACCCCTTTTCCCATAACTCTTTCAGGAGTAAACATCCTCCTTGAGGGATAAATATCTCTCACTTCCTGTTATCTCACACCCATTCTTAACTATGAGTCATTTGTAAGTCGGATGTTTGTAACTCGGGGACTGCCTATATTCCAAAATACTTCTGGTCCCAGGCATTTCAGATAAGACATACTCAACCAGTACTTCAAATTACCTGATCAAGGAAGAGTCTGGTAGGGTGCATCTACACTGCAGAATTAATGCAGTTTAACACCACTTTACCTGCCGTGGCTCAATGCTAAGCAATCATAGGAGTTTTACCACGATGTTGCTGCTGGCTCGCCAAACTACTATTCTCAAGACTCTAGAACTTGTGGGCTGTGGACCACCAATGAGCTGCAAGGATGAAAATCTGGTCCACAAGCCTCCTTCCTCTTAATTTTATTTCTGCTCCTTTTGTGCCGCCTGCCACTACTTCCCTGTCGCTGACTATGGCATATGTTATTATTATTATTATTAACTTTATCTGTACCCCGCTAGCATCTCCCGAAGGACTTGATGCGACTTACAAAGGCCAAGGCCTCAAACACAACATAACAATACAAAACCTAAAACAAATTAAAAACAATTAAAGCAATATTAAACAACGAGCAATAAACAATACACCAAGTACTGTATCAGAAACTAGAACTGATAGGGTTTATCCAATGCAATTTTCTGAATCTGGCCCCTGGTCAAAAAATGGTTGGGAACAGCTGCTCTATAGCATTGGCCAGGGCTGTTAAAGAGATGTCAAGCTGCATTCATTCTGTAGTACAGACATACCTTACCAGACTCTTTCCTCAACATGGTATTTGTAGTATAGCTGGAGTACCGCTTATCTGAAATGCCTGGGTCCAGAAGTATTTGGGGATACTTGTGTTTGCATTTGCGTACATCATAAGATGTCGTAGAGATGAGACCCAAGCCTAAGTTTTAAATGTTTATTGTAATGTTTACATTGTTTTAATGGCATCAAATAGCTGCCTATGTTGCAAAGCCACCTTGAGTCACCTTGTGATTGTGTTTGATTTTCTATTGTATTATTTTGTATTGTTTTGTTATATTTTATGCTTGTCTTTTTTTTAATTATGATATTGCCTTATGTTTTTTGTTACTGTATTGTAACGCATTTCTGGGCTTGCCTCATATAAGCCGCCCCGAGTCCCCTTTGGGGAGATGGTGGCAGGGTATAAACATTATTATTATTATTATTATTATTATTATTATTCGGGTTCGAGAAAGGCGGAGTAGAAATATCTTATGCTTCAACACCCCTTATACAGGTAGTCTGCAGGTAATATTATGCATAATATTTGCAATAATTTTGAACGTGGAATAAAGTTTGTAGCTGGAGCCATGGGCGCAGCCAATGAGCGAGGAAACGCCGGGTGCATTAAAGCTGGGAACCGACTCGCCCTTCTGCCGCGTGGAGGCCGAAGACAGCTTGGGCGGGGCAGAAGGCCCTGAGGGCGGGGAGCGAGGAGAGGCCGCGGCCTGCCCCGCGAAAGGGAAAGCCCTGGGCGCTTGGAGGGGAGGGAAAGGCCGGCCTCTCACCTGAAGTCCTTGTCACTCGACGTCATTTTCTCCAGCAGGTTGGAGATGTGGTACGAGGCGCTCGCCATGTCGAGGAGGGTCCCGCTGAGGGCCGCGTCTCGCCGGCTCCGCGTCGCCCAGGGCGGAAGGAGGCGAAGGAGGGCTCGGTCTGGCGAGGCCTTGGGCTGAAGCGGGGGTGGGACTCAGGGAAGGAAGGAAAGAGGGAGGCTCAGCGTCCGTGCCCGGAGGAGGTCACTCTCATCGCAGGCGAGCCGGGCAAAGGGAAAGCAATAGGAAGGAAGGAGAGGCCTCCTCGTGCCGCCGCTCCCCTCACTCACAGGCGAATGGAGGAGGACCCGAGACCTCGCCGTCCGTTGCCTCGCGAGGTCAAAGTTCAAGGAGGCCCTCGCGCGAAGAACGCGCCGACGTCGCTCGCTCCGTCGCCACCTCCCATTGGCCTGCGCCGCTTCTGCGTGGGCGGGCGGGTTCCCGTGACGTCACGACGCGCGCGGCGTAGAGCGTGCGCGAGGAGGGACGGTTAGTAAGCAGGAGCGTGAGGGGAGGGGAGGGAGGTTAAAAGCCTCATTCGAAGGAAAGAAGGGGCGGGGCCAGGGAAACACCTCTCTTCCCGGCATGCAATGCTTTCGGGGATTAGGGTTCCAAGGGGAGGCTTAGGAAGGGACGCGGCCTGCGGGTGACGTCACGGCAGGCCTTGGCGAGGAGGGGACTCTGGTGGGGAGTTTGTTTGTGGCATAAATAACATCCATACTGGGTGTGCGTTACGATACTCGAGAGCCAGCATAAGCCTTGGACACTGTAGACCAGGCATGGGCAAACTTGGGCCCTCCAGGTGTTTTGGACTTCAACTCCCACCATTCCTAACAGCCTCAGGCCCCTTTCCTTTTCCCCCTCAGTCGCTTAAGCAGTTCAGTAGAGGGAGGAAAAGAAAGGGCCTGAGGCTGTTAGGAATGGTGGGAGTTGAAGTCCAAAACACCTGGAGGGCCCAAGTTTGCCTATCCCTGCAGTAGACACAGTTCTTACCCCGAAGGGGGCTCAGAGCGGCTTACATGATATATATATACATACATACAATATATTATATTATTAGCATAGCACAATATCAGTATTATATAGTACTATATTGTACTATACCATTATATTGTAATATTACATGTAATATAAAATTTATAATTATTCTTATATTGTATTACATTATATTATAACTATTATATTTATATACAATATATTATATTATTAGTATAGCACAGGAGACAAGGTGGAACTGCCTTCCTGTCCCCCTGTATAGATTGGGGGATATAGAATGGGGGACGCCTGGCTCGAGAGCAGTATGTGTGAAAAATATCTTGGAGTCCTCATGGATAACAAGTTAAACATGAGCCAATAATGTGATGTGGCGGCTAAAAAAGCCAATGGATTTTGGCCTGCATCAATAGGAGCATAGTGTCTAGATCTAGGGAAGTAATGCTATCCCTCTATTCCACCTTGCTTAGACTACACCTGGAATATTGTGTCCAATTCTGGGCACCACAATTCAAGAGAGATGTTGACAAGCTGGAATGTGTCCAGAGGAGCGACTAAAATGATCAAGGGTCTGGAGAACAAGCCCTATGAGGAGCAGCTTAAGGAGCTGGGCATGTTTAGCCTGAAGAAGAGAAGGCTGAGAGGAGATATGATAGCCATGTATAAATATGTGAGAGGAAGTCACAAGGAGGAGGGAGCAAGCTTGTTTTCTGCTTCCCTGGAGACTAGGACATGGAACAATGGCTTCAAACTACAAGAAGGAGATTCCATCTGAACATGAGGAAGAACTTCCTGACTGTGAGAGCCGTTCAGCAGTGGAACTCTCTGCCCCGGAGTGTGGTGGAGGCTCCTTCTTTGGAAGCTTTTAAACAGAGGCTGGATGGCCATCTGTCAGGGGTGCTTTGAATGCAATGTTCCTGCTTCTTGGCAGGGGGTTGGACTGGATGGCCCATGAGGTCTTTTCCAACTCTATGATTCTATGATTCTCTCTTTGGCCCAGAGCAGCAGTTGGTGCTGGGGGGAGGGGGAGGGGCTCCCAGCTGATGGCATAGGCAGGAGACAAGGTGGAACTGCCTTTTTGGCCTTCTCTCTCTTCACTCTGGCCCAGACAAAACCAGAGGTTCGACACCACACAATGCCATGGCTCAGTGCTATGGAATCATGGGAGACTTCACAACCTCTGAGGATGCCCGGAAAACTTACAACAACCCAGTGATTCTGGGATATAGGACTGCGTGGAAGAGCCTAAACTAAAGACACTTGGTAACAACATCATTTATCTCTTACTGTGGGAGTTAGTGATTCTCCCACTACTCCCAGAGAAAGTTTGGGCAAAAAATATAACGTGAGTTCATGTGGAGTTCACTAGTACAGTAGTTTTGTTTTTGTTTTTTTTAAATCAAAGTTAAGATTTCTATTAACACCTCTTACCATTGTGTATTTTGAAATATAGCGTGCATTGACTAGATTATCTTAATCTGAGGGGCCCATCCAGATAGGCACTATATCCCACTTTCTGATCCCAGGATTTCTCTTGATCACAGATTATCTAGAAGTGAGGGCTCATATAATCCAGTTTAAAGCAGACAACCTGGGATCATATCCTAGGATATAAGGCCTATCTGAAAGGGCCATGAAATTGAGTAGGGTCACTCTCTTTCCATTCATGCATCTGGGTTTGTCAGATGTTTATTACCTCATGTGTATTTATTTATGTATATACACGCACACCTGAGTGTGCATTCCTGATTCTTCTGTATAGAGAAATTTTATGTTTAAATTTTATCATGAAAAATAAGATACAGGGTGTCTGCAATGAAGTAATGCCTGTACTTTGTTTTTCCTTTTGTATTCAGTTAACTTTATCTCAGGCGTATGCTTACAAATACAAAGCCAAGACCTATGAGAAGATGTAATCTCTAATACAGGCAGTCCCCAAGTTATGATAAAGATAAGATCTGTAGGTTTGTATTTAAGTTGAATTTTTATGTAAGTTGGAACATGTACATTTTTTGTGTGTAATTCCAGCCAAAATCATATATTTTTAAAGTTTGGAATAGCATAGGGAAGGGTCAACACCAATGTGGTGTTTGTTTTGATGTCTGTGTCCCTGTTCTGAAGGTTTGACCTCACTTTCTGTCTCTGTGATAACTGCATTTTGAAAAAAAAAAATAGCTTGCTGTAGACATTGAGACTGGTGATAAATCTTCAGTAGAGATGCCTTTCCCTCAAAGTAACTCAGAAGTGAATTTCCCTTCCTAGGAGTAGATTTCTCTCACTTCCTATTTTTTCACTCCCGTTCTTATCTATGAGTGTAAGTTGGATGTTTGTAACTCGGGGACCGCCTGTAGTTACTGGGTAGACTACTGTACAATAGGATATAGAAATAAAATACTTTTTTTAATAATAGAATGTAAATATTCCTATTTGAGAAAGAGGGGTTCATAAACAGACAATCTTTGACTCAGTATAACTCGTACAAGTCATTGATTCAGTTCAGAGGTTACAATAGGGGTTGTTTAGTACAAATTAATCCAGTCCTAAAGCCACTTGAGGGTAAGTCCTGTTTTTGAGTAGACATTTATGACAGTTTTGCTAAAGATAAGTGTAAATATACATAACACCTGCAAGTCCCAAAGTCTTAGCCAACATAGTTATCAAATTCTTGTGAATTGAATTCCATCAATTCTTAAAGGACTGTGATTTACTCACCCCATGCTAAATTATTGTTTCATAGACAGGTGGTATTTATAACTACTTAAATATGGAGAACCTAAATAGCTTGGTGTCACCTTAGGTCAAACACTAACATATAGAAACATTGCATGAACACCAAGCATAAAGTAGCTGCACACAATAACATCCTGCGGAAACTTACTGGCAGCACATGGGGTGCAGATCCAAAATTAGTAAGAACATCAGCCCTGGCCTTGTCTTATTGCCTGCCCACGCAAAGCAGGTGACCATACCATTGAACGAAACATGCAGACTATTCACAAGCTGTCTTAAACCCACACGTGTTAATAAACTCTACAAGGTAGCTGGCATTGCTCCCTCTGATGTGCGATGGGAAGTTACTGCTATCTGTGGGAGAAATAAGGTTGAACACTGTCAAATGCAACCCACTGCATGGCTATCAGCCTCCTCCCAGTAGACTCAAATCAGGGAAAAGCTTCATGAGAACTACCACTCCTCAACTTTCCCCAGCAACAGCAAGGGTTTCCCTCTGGGCAGCTAAACCAGGAAAGCCCAATTGGATGCCCCCCTCCCCACAAGGATCTGTCTCCTGGGGCAAACCAAGAATGGGAAACTTGGAAGTTCCAGAACAGATTCAGAAATGGAGAGGGCAGATCAAAAGGCAACCTGGAAAAATGCCACTGCATAAAAGAATCCTCCACCTTGTGTGACTGTGGAGCAGAACACAACTCCGCATCTGTATGCTTGTCCTCAATATCCTGCCTCATAGTCAAAAGATATTTAGCTGCTTGTGCTCCTATTTTTATCAATTTTATACTAAATAACAAAAGCCTTTAAAAATCTTTTTAATTTGATCTAGTCCTGAATTGCTTTTGGTGATAGTGTAATTTTTTTTTCAATTTAAGGTTGCATGTGACGAGTTGGAATAATTGGTCTATATCAATGGTTCCCAACCTTTGGTCCTCCTTGTGTTTTGGACTTTAACTCCCAGAAATCTCTGCCAGCTAACCAGCTGTTAGGACACCTGGAGGACAAAAATTTGGGAACCACTGCTCTACATCCCTATTCTTACCAATATTGTACTCCTGAAAATACTTACATGCAGCACAGTTACCATTCAGTTCTAAGGGTAATGAATAATCATAAATGAAGTTGATCAGTTTAGAAAAGTGCACCCAGAAACCACAAGTTTCATTTAATTCATTTAATTCACTTACACTCTGACAGAATACAGCAGATAACAAAAGGAATTAAAACAAGTAACTAATTATTGGACAGATCAGAATGAATGTTTGCTTGTTTACAATCAATTCCGCTCTGTATTTATTGATTCATTTCAATCTAGCTTTGTGTGATGTTCATTATAGACTCCTTTCAACAGCTAAATAGAAATGAGACTGTCATTCTGGAGAGTACTCACTGAATAGGTACTAAGATTGTCAGTGAAATAAGGAACAAGGTTCTTGCACTTTTAAAGGTGTTAAAAGAGGCAACACCTGTTGAAATTCCCTCCTCTTTGCAAACCTTAAAGGTACAAGACCCTGTCCCTTATGTCAACTACCATCCTTTCTAGGTTCTCCAAGGTTTGAGGTTTGTCAAAACAATTTACTCTGGAGAGCCTTAACTTGTTAGTGAAAAGTTTTAAGCCAGAGTTGCCCAATTTTGGGGTCATGGGAGTTGTAATTTGAATATTTCTAGAGGGCAAAAGGTTGAAAAT